TCTTGCCCTAGTCATTGCGGGCTTCACATCACCATCAACCAGTCGAAGCACTCTCACTAAAGGGCAAGCCACCTCCAATGCAAGAAGTATTCGACTCCAAAAAGATGTATTCAGAATAATTTTTTCAGCCTTTCTCCCATCCTTATGCCACGAAAGTGGCTGTAAATGCTCGTTTAGGGGGTTTAATACCCCTCAAACTATTTCCCCCAATTTTTTATGGTAAAAACGACCATTTTGCCCATCCCCGAGGGGCACAATAAAAAATAACATCGCGGAACAGTATGCAGCCAGATGCGCTATGTGGCTTTGATGCGGCACATATCTGCCCACATACCTCCAAACCGCATATGCGGTCTTTCCGATGCGGTGCCCACTACATACGGCCAGATGCGGCCACATTTAAAACACTGTAAGATAATGTGGCTAGCAAAACTCCTTTTTCTTTCAATGGTTGTCAAAGTGTGTGAAAATGAACTAGCTTGATATGTTGTTGCTACACCTTGAAATTTATTATATTGATGAAACATAGAGATAGGCTGCCTTTTTTACCCCCTTATGGAAATGCAAAGAGCATTCTCAACTTACAAATATGGGATAGGAATGCTCATGATTCTCTCTCTCTCTTAAAGTTTTTTTTTTTTGGGGGGGGGAGGGGGGGTCTAGTTTATCTTATGTTATGGTCAATTCAAACCGTTGCCCACTTCCAAAAATCCTTGTGAAGCTTCTATAAATATTTATTGCAAAAATACTTTAATATACTAACTTAAAATTTAACTAGTTAAACTCGTACTTTAATAAATAAAAAAATTGTTTTAGCGAATTCTTTTTAGAAATATTCTTTAATCATATGTTATTCGTGGGCATTTGTGCACTGTATATTGGTTGTTTTTGTCGTTTAGATAATCATTATTTTATTTCTATCATTTCCAGGATATGTAATCAATGAAATGTCACCATTTGATATCTTGAGGAAATTAAAATCTTTTGATGGTAATTGTTCTCAATATTGATAATCAAGGAACACTAGTATTATCAATTTATCATTGTACGTTGTTAATGATATTTCTTTTGTTGTGTAGACAACATTAGGTAAAAGTTAATTATCAGATGCACCCTGAACCAAGATTTATAATGTGTGCATATAAGGATAGGTCCTTCCGTAAAAATCGTTGGGGAATGATGAATTCACATGTAAGAATAAAAGAGCCCCACAATATGAAGTTGTTTTTTGCGACTCTTGGATCAACATTATTATAAGGCTTGATAAGCAAACCTGAGACAGAGACGATAGCAATATGTCTTGGACATCTTTTGGAGCTAAAATGATATATTATCTGCACAGGCATCACCTAGAGATTGGGTGGGTAGAATTCTGTCCTAGTGTTGAAGAGGCTGCTCCAATATCTAGGAACCTCATATATGTCCAAGCAAAACTCAGATATTACATATCATCATCATCATCTAAGCCATATGTCAACTATTTGGGGTCGGCTACATGAATCCTGTTTCGCCATTCTGCTCATAGGTTCAGGATTCATGACAAGATTTGGCAAAGTTTTACGCTGGTTGCCCTACGTAATGCAACCCTTTACGCTGGTTGCCCTACTTAATGCAACCCTCCTCCTTTACCCGGGCTTGGGACTGACATGACCGGCTTGGGGGCAGCCAAGGCAAAGTTATGAAAAATATTATATATAATATTGTATTTTGTTTTTTGAAAAGTTACATATAATATTTTATTTTATGAAAGAATCATGTAATACTTGATAAGTGTCTGATAGGGTGTCTGGTAGGACTTTGTTCTCATTCCCAGTCTCATGAAAAACTCATAACTCCCTTTAGTTTAAGACTCAGGAGGTGTCTAAGCTTACTGAGGCAAATTCCGAGTCTTAGACCCTATTTTTTTGAAAATTTATGCACATGAAGTTTTTAGAACTTTTGGTGAGGCTTTGGAGTATTTGGTGGCTTCCATGGTGGGGCTATAACTCTCAAGTATCAACATGTCCCCAGTTTTCTTATCACTGTCTGGCATTGGGGTTGAAAGACCGGTCTCACAAATGCTATCCCATGTGACAATTGATCAAGTTTCCATTTAATGAAGTATCTTATGGATTCTTTTGGATGCATCCTTTTCTCATGTTTTTTTTCTTGACTTTCGAGTTTCCAAATTACTAGGAGAGGCTCCAAGTGCATCTAGTTGCCCCTCAGTTAATTTTCGGGTTTCTATCATCACTTCAACTTTTCTGGTTGTCTGGATACTATATGATACATATTGCTTTTTCTGGTGGATATTCTATAGATAAATATTTGATGGTTTACTTTACCATTCCTTTTGATTGTCAATGGCGTCCTTTGCTTCACATGAAAGCCAATGCTATACTGCACTTTCAAACAGGTTATATGAATGTACGATCAATATTATTTGCCAAATGGGAAACAATTGTTTCCAAGGGGGCTAAGTTATGGTAAGCATGATACCTATTGATAAAATAATGTGGCAGTGGTATAGTTGCCGCAATCATGTAGCGATGTCATGATTTTGGTTCAAGAATCCCGATTCTGCGTTTCTTGGGATGAATCACGATTCTTGGAAGATAGGAATCATGATTCCAAATTTCTCGAATCTCATTCTATATCCTTTTTTGAATCCGGATGCTTGGAAGTTGGGAGTGTAGATTCCATCTCTCAAATTTGCGATTCATAAGTGCACAAGGCCAGGATTCAACGTTTATGAGATCTTGATCTCAAACTTTGGGAATAGCGAATCCATGTTTTTTTTGGAAGGTAGAACCACAATGTCAAAATCAGGGGTTCATAGATGCACTGAATAATGTTTCGATCAACGTATTTTGACAAAGTATTATAGTAATGTTTGTTGCTGGTAAGTGTCAAATAGAATCTTCAACTTTCAACTTTAGCGTTGTGGATATAAATGGCAAGTACTTAAACCATTTCATCATCTTGGTAAGGTCCACATCACAAAGACTCATTTTTGAGTGAGAAGATGTATATCTTCCTTTCATCATCAAAAAATGCATGAAAACACATCCACCATATGGGTTTGGTTTCTAACTTTCGATAGAACCCGATCTTTGAAGAGTGTTTCAATAAAGGATTGAAGATATGGTGCTCTAAGAGCTCGACGTCCACATCTCAAAGATTGTTTGAGTCAGACAAGGTATGCAAATTGAAGAAAGCAATTTATAGTCCGAAGCAACCCCCATGTGCATGGTTCGAGAAGTTCAGTGAAATTGTCATAGCATATAGGTTTCTACGGAGCTATATGGATCATTCACTATGTGGTGGTTCACGTTGATGACATCATCATTATAAGGAGTGATTAGGAAGGAGTTAATAAGTTAAAGGGATATTTGCAGCAACATCTTCAGACAAAAGATTTGGGATAGCTTAGGTATTTTCTTGGAATTGAAATAGCCTGGTCCAAGTATGGAATCGGTTTGTCTCAAAGGAAGTACATAACAAATTTGTTGACAGAAACATGGATTTTGGGTGCTAATCCAATTGATGCACCTATAGATCCAAGTATTAAATATCAGCGAATCAATGAGAGTTGTTTGAAGATCCAGGCAGGTACAAAAGGCTTGTTGGTAGAATTAACTACGTAACAATTACTTGGCCAAACATAACTTTTGCATTGAGTGTAGTGAGTCAATGCATGCATTTTCCTAGGACACCACACTGGGAGTCAATGAGGAGAATCTTGCGATATCTTAAGGGGGTTTCAAGTCAAGGACTTATTTATAGGCAAAATTGCCATCTTAACATTGGGATTTATTTTGATGCTGATTAGGTAGGATCTCCATCGGACAGATCAAGAAACAATGTGGTTTCCAGGTGTAGTTTTGTGGCTGAATATTGTGCAAAGACACACACTACATGTCAGCTATTGTGGCTGAAAACCTTGATGCAGGAGATGGGATTCACAGTTACTGAGCCAATAAGGATGTTCCGTGACAATCAATTAGCCATCCATATAGCTGGCAACCCAGTATTTCATGGGAGAACACAACATATTGAAGCATATTGTCATTTTATTCAAGAGAAACTAGCATGTGAGCAGATAACTACTCCATTGGTGAAGTCAAAAGGATCTATTGGTTGATATATTCACCAAGGCTCTTGGTTGTAACCAGTATCAACAAATTTGTTTCAAGCTGGGCATATGTGACATTCATGCTCCAGCTAGAAGGGGGGGTGTTGATGAGTAGGTTATTTTGGTTGTGTTTTTACTGTGGATTCTAGGCATTCTCGTATTTTTTTAGAATCTTAAAGACATTAATTTATTCAATAGGATGTTACTGTAATTTGTACACATTTTATTATTATAAATAAGATAATATAGGTCCGTAGAGGTCATCTAACACTAAGGGAGACTTCTTTCAGGCACCTCTCCACATTCTTGTCTCTCCAACTTGCACCTCTCTTTTCTCTCTCCTCTCTCTCTCTCTTCTCTCACATGTTCTTCTGATCCCTCTCTTCTTTCTCTTTGTACCTATTATATCAATAGGAAGAAAATACAAGTTAGGAATACCATCAAGATCCATGAAAAGTAACGAAGAGAAAAATGAAATGAATTTTAGTCATATGATTTCCTAATATAATATTTGTCAACTGTTTATAAATGTAGTAGTGGTATTCTTGAGAACTTATAGTTGTACATATTTTGCAAAAATTCATTTTGAAGAAATTTCACCATATCATGAGCATACCATTTTCTAGAGAAAGCAAATCGGAATATTTCTACATTGCATCAGTTGTCAAACCAGGTATGAAGTTGGCATAATGGATTCTCACTAACCCAGAGGTTTTGCCTAGAAATATGTTTTATTTGTAACTTAACAGTTTGCATGAAATGAAAACCCAGTCTTGCATTCCCTAAACCTGTCTATCTCCCTTCTATTCCCTTCTGTTTTTCTTGGTTTTATTATCTCTCTCTCTCTATATATATATAATTCTTTCTATTTCTGTTTGTATAACAGGTTGCTGAACTTGTTCTAGACAAGAAATCTTTCGAGCCAAACATCCGTGACTTCTCAAAGCTCATAGATGCCCATGCTAAGGAAGACCGCATAGCTGATGCTGAAAGGATCCTTGGGAAAATGACAGAGAAAGGAATCTCGCCGGACATTTTAACATATATGACCTTGGTTCACATGTATAGCAACTCTAGTAATCTTGATCTAGCCAAGCAAGCCTTTGAAGATATTAGGGCTCGAGGCTTCCAACCCGACCAAAGGATTTACAACTCCATGATCATGGCTTACATAAAAGCGGGCCTACCCAAGTCTGGCGAGTCTTTGATGAGAGAGATGGAGGCAAGAGATATAAGACCCACAAAGCAAATCTACATGGAATTGCTCAGGGCCTTCGCTCAAGGTGGCCATGTTGATGGGGCTCAGAGAATTGTCAACACAATGCAATTTGCAGGGTTTCAGCCTGATTTAGAATCATGCTCTTTGCTTGTTGAGGCCTATGGACATGCAGGTGACCCCGAACAAGCTCGAAACAACTATGATTACATGATAAAAGCTGGCCATAAGCCTGATGATAAGTGCACAGCTAGCTTGTTAGCTGCCTACGAGAAGAAGAACTTGCTGGATAAGGCTTTAGGCTTGCTATTGCATCTAGAGAGAGAAGGGTACAAGTTGGGTACCCACACTTATGCAGTTTTGGTGGATTGGCTTGGTAGGTTGCAGCTTGTTGCGGAGGTGGAACAAGTTTTGAGTAAGATTGGGAGTAAAGAGGAGGTTCCTTTTAAGGTTCATGTGAGTCTGTGCGATATGTATGCAAGGGCTAGGGTGAGAGAGAAGGCGCTTGAAGCTTTGGGGATTGTTGAAGAGAAGAAAGAGGCTTTGAGTGGGGAAGAGTTTGAGAGGGTGATTCATGGGCTTTTGGCTGGTGGGTTTGTGCAAGAGGCTAGGAGGGTTCATGAAGGGATGCAGGGTCAGGGTTTTGTTTCATCTGATCCTTTGAAGGTGGCTCTCATGGCTGCACAGGCTATGCCTAGGCAAAAGCCAGTTGTGAGATGAGGCAAATGGTTGGGGTTTAAGAGCTTTATTTGGTGGGATTGGCTTTCACCCATTTATTCGTCTTGTTATGATGGCTTCAGGTGAGACGTTTTTTACTTCTTAAATAATAAGAAAAAAGCACGTATACTATGCGTCTACTCCCTCGGTGCAAAATACCTATCAAGTAGTATTATTTTTCTAAAAGTTTGCCAACCACATAAATGATTTTTGTTTCAAAAGGAAACAATTTAAATTTTGAGTTTTGTGATACTTAGATCTAGCTCTTCTCAAATTGGAAGGTCTCTATTAAATTTTGATGCATTTTTTCCCCTTGTATTTATAGAGTTTATTTAAGATTTTTTTTATTGATATTAGTTTATATGCTGTAAAGATTACATCTCAAAATTTGAGACTAAGAGGTATTTGTGGCAGGTATTATATCCGAGGGAGTAAATAAATAGTATACTCCCACGGGAGTAGGAAATCCTTTTGGCTTAAGAAACACTTTTGTTAGTTTTTTTATTTTTGGGTAATTGAGTGGGGAAGACATCCGGTACCCGTGTTTTCATAAAGCTCAGGAGTTTGAAAGTGTGAGGTGTGGGAATGAAAACTACGTTGACCATTACACTAAAACTATCGAATTTCGTTTCATTATCTTATAATGGGTTTGAGCGGTAACACGAAATTACTTACGCTATATGTGCATACATGTGAGTTAAACCTTTAAAACGCTATGTTGTGCCCAGAGCGTTTTTTAACCTATTCTTTATCGCTTCCTTCTCCACCTGATGGAAGATGCACTCTTCATCTTAAGATAATCATAATGACATGCACTCTCCGTCAGGTGCAGAAGGAAGCGAGAAGGGATGCTGGGATAAAAGATATGGCA